ATAATAAAAATGAGGATCCTATTTGCACAATCAGGGGGAATAATCTACAAATTGTCATTCATAAAGACTAACATCATTTGGCGAAGGTATGAGATCGGGAACTCTACTTTCAGTTTTAAAAGGTTTAGCAGATGACTTCACAGTCGCAAATGTTATTAAAAATTATTTGCGAAATCAAAACTAACTAGAGTTCCAGCTAACTGATACCTTCGCCAAGTGATGTTAGCGTTTGACTAAGAAATTATATATTAATCACCCTGATTATGCAAATAGGATCCTCAATTGCATAAATCATACCTGTTGATCATATTCTACACCAAAAGACAGTCTTATCTTAACAAAGAATGCCATTATAGCATTTCCCTATAAATTATGCAAATGAGGTCCTTATTTGAATAAGTTATATTTAATTATGTTTACCTTTTATGTTTAACTCTCAAATACCCCCAAGTATGAAATTGCAGGCAGTTACCACTATGGAATTATAACATTTTCTCATTAATTATGCAAATTGTCTTCATTTGCATAATCGATATCTGCCTGTGTTTCTCTCGTTCTTAATTACATATGTCACAAGCTTGAATAGTCATATAATGGAATACAGCTGATTGATAGAATTTCCTCATTAGTTATGCAAATTACATCCATATCTGCATACTTGTAATATCATTATGTAAAGCATTACTTAAGCTACCAACATACCGAAAATCACGACGATCCATCAATCGATTCTTGAGTTATCCTCCTTTAAACCAAATGCCTCTGCAACTCCAGTGCAAGCAGCTAGGAGACTCAAGAGCTATCAAATTCGTCACCCTAGAATGTCTGGATCGTGAGATATAAAAACCGGAAGTTCTGCTGCAGTACCATGACAAGCCGCCAGGTGGCCGAAAATCTAATTGAGGCCTCATCAAAACCTACCCACCTACCAAATATTAAGACAATCCTTCTCTTTTTTCTACCTCCATGGACAATCCATCGAGGCCTTCTAGAGTTATCACACACAGAGAGAGAGAGAGATAGAGAGACTGACCAAAAGTAATTATAAAATCGGCTGTATTTCAAGGGAAACGAGCAGGTTTCCTAGTTCTCCCGCCAATTCCTTCCTACATACTGCTACTTACTTGCTACATACTGACTTGTCTTTTTAGTGTAAACAAACAATTTAATTGTTCATGAAATACACTAATGAATTTACATGTTGGATTTTTGCATACAGTTAAATCATCATGATTACGTAAACAATTGTCAGACATTTTTCTACACTTTTAGGCTATCGACATATTGATAATAAAATACACTTACGTACTCTCTAATGAACGTATATGGTCACATGTTTCCACTCTTTTTACAAGCAAATGCAACAAAAAATGCAGCTTAAAAACGTGTATTAAAGTATTTTGCTTTGCTTTTGCTTCGTCGTAGGCTTTGTACAGTACGTAATGTGTAACATGATATTCCTTTTGTAGATTGCGTTTTAAGCAAAGCTAGAGAAGAGGCAAAACAACATCTAAGTCCCGCGTTGCTTTAGAGCTAAATGTCTGCCAAAACCTGGTACCTCCCCATTCTACTTCTCTTCTGCCAGCACCACGTCAGTCCGGCCACCACGACCAGTATCAGGAGAACACTGAGGACTATGGTCGCCACTTTAGGTCCACCGGGTATTGGTGGGATTTTCTCTGTAGGGTAAATGTTATTTGATATAGTGAGTGTAGCATATTTATTACGTTTCAGATGTACATTTTGTGTACATGCGTCATTACAAACCAAAAATTGCGTTTGTTGAAGGCTTACAAATCCAACATTTCACGTTGGAGCATGCCCCCGGACCCTCCCTACACAGCCCTAATCCATCTATATATATATATATATAATAGACCAATTACCTGTTTGTTGAATGAAGAAATGAGCAACCCATCGTTTCTGTAGCGTTATATTAGCACAGATGACACACGTGACTTGGTGAGCAGTTTATTTGTTTATTTTGTTTATTGTTTATTTGAATGATCTCAATTAGTGAGTATACGCTTATACCCACTATTCTTCTGGAGTCTTAAAACACATTACAGACTTAAACACAGACGTACACTTACTTATTGCTACACATAAAATACAACAACCTGTAACTGATTACTAATCCTATTCTATATACAACAAAGTAATGAGGTAAGAGATTGTTTGAGAGGTCAAAGGTAAATGCAATGATAATGCATACAAGTTATATATTTACAATGCAATGAATAATGCATACAAGTTATATATTTACATTTAAAAATTACTATGCTACCACCAATGCTGCAGGGGTCTGTTTGTGTATGTTTGTGTTTTTTACCTGTCCTTGTTTTTTGAAAGCTGATGGTGAGGATGATTTGATGTGTTGCGGGAAAGTGTTGTAGGATTTTGTGCACCTGTACAGTACAGAGATGTTCTAGTAGCAGAGGAAGTTCTGGGTTTTGGTAGTCTAAAGGCTCTCGCCTGTGAATGGCGTGTGTTGTGTTGTTGTGTGTTGTTGATTCGGCGTAGTTTATTGTAGATAGTAACAGGTTTGCCAGTAGTCAGTAGTTTGTGGAACGTGGAGAGTGTATTTGTGTAAAGTCTTTCGTTAACTCTGGGCCAGTTTAATCTACAGTGCAGTTCGTCGATCCTGCAGTTATACTCAGCATTTAACACAAGCCTAGCCGCCTTATTTTGTAGTATCTGCAACCCGCTCAGGTTAGATTGAGAACTGGACGATAGAAGGCAGGAGCAGTAGTCCAGATGACTCAGGACAAGTGTTTGAGTTGCCGTCTTTAACGTGAGCACTTCGGCAGAACGTACTGCGCCTGCGCAGAACCCTGTATTTTCACGGTTTTCGGTGGCTTTTTGGTCAGCGTCGCATTAGAATTTTGCCTGTTGCAGAGGGTATCTTTTCCTACATAACATTTGGAAGCTACAGACCAGATGTTTTCCTTATATGCGCTAATACGACCTTATATGAGACAATCTACCGAAGTGCTATGTACAATACATTACGGGTTTCGCGCAGGTGCAGTACGTTCTGCCGAGGTGCTTTTAACATGTCACCCGTGATCTAGCAATTGCTCCTAGAGCACTTGCCATTTTGGATTTAACTTTGTCAAGGTGTTGGGCTAAGGTTAACTGCTGGTCTATCAATAATCCTAGCAGTTCCGCCTGCTCTACCTGTTCAATCGGCTTATTGTGCATTGGACGCTGTAGGGTTGGTTTGTGTTTTAAGCAGTAGTTTGCAGCTTGCAGAAAGACTTTGGCGCGACGCCCAACCCCCACCCCCACCCCCCGTCTTTGTTACCGGATGGTTCCATTGAATGCCCTGATGGCGATGGCCTCTTTTATTAACTCGTCCATAGAGTGATGGATATACATTTGGCTTCAGTGGATCTGTAGCCTGACTAAATCTGTTCTCCTAGCGGCCGGCCTGGTATTACACCAGCGTAATACCGGGCCGGCCGCTAGGAGCGCAGATTTAGTCAGGCTAGTGGATCTGGTAGTCCATCGATTTCCGATGATGGCTTCTGTGTAAACCCTCATCAGGTGGGGTGGAATATGTAGTGTAAAGTGGAATATGTAGGTAATTACCTTTTCTTCTTGGAAACTAATGATGACTTCTCCTGGGCAGATAATCATTAAAGAAAATGGTATTTGCTATACAAATGTTACTTACTTTCACAGAAGTCGCCCTCCCAGCCAGCCGGACATTTGCAGGCTCCGGTGAATGTATGACAGGAGGCGTTGTGAGGACAGTCACAGTCCTGCTGACATTCACCGCCATATTTACCCGCGGGGCATCCTGGGAGAAACCAGTAACAAAACTGTTTATCTTAGAAAAGAGACAAAATGACAAACTTTATCATTCATACAGCATTCACCTGACACCAAACATATCAGCTGAGAAAGATTAAGTATTTTAATTTTGATAAGCTTTTCTTATTCACTCACTCACGGTATGCCTACAACCCAGCCAACCTGGTATAATCTGTAGTGTACATAACACAAGAAACATCACCTACGGCGTATATTAGCCTGTGTATACACAAGCTCTCGGCTGGAGGTTAATGACCCCCACCCCAAGAGTGGGGGGCGGCAACCTAGGGCGGCGGCCGCCAGGAGCGCGATTTAGTCAGGCTACGGCGTATATGTGCAACAATAAAAGTAGCTATAACTGTTAAGTTTATTAGTAACAGCTTTATATTTCTTAAATAAAGCTTGTGCAATTTCTGATCCAATTTTGCGGTCAGATTCCATACTAATTTCCAAGTAGGATAACTTGAAAAAGAGTAAATGCATTGTTCTATACGCTCTCCAGGCTAGTCTAATCCTACTACTGTAGAAAAATTCCTTTCTATATAAACCTCCTTGATTCTACTGTATATTATAACCCACCTGGAAGGCCTGATGGGGTCTACAATTCTAATTCACTCTCACACTCTCCTATCATTTTGCTTAATTCTCAACTTGTCTATTACATTCCTCACTCATTCTTCTTTTAACTCACGCTTTCGCGTAAACCTGAAATAACTCTTAGTATACAAATTCATCTGTGTTGGTAGTTAAATGTGCAATTTAATGTGCAAAGATTGAGTGTAACAAGCCGTTCGGTGTGATATAGCTAGCTGCCGCCGCGCTGCGTGCCTGCGAAGATGGTGTGTTGCGCCGAAGGGCGGTTATACCGGCTATACCGATACAGATACAGATACAGAGTATACCCGAGTGTTACCCACTGTATTATCCGCTTGGAGATTGGGATGTTTGTTACGTACCTATTGGATAAACGATGATGTGTACACCATCAATGCTCAACGGGACGCCACCGTTTACTTCAGCCTGACAGATCCAGTCCAGAATCACGTCGTTGCTCGTGTCGAGGTGCGGCACGTTGATGATAATGAGGATGCGGCGGTCGGTTCCCTCCCCCTCGGTATACCACTCCTTCCTCAACCCGGGATGCTTCGTCATGTCCGCTATCGTACTGTTCTATGAGGACAACAAGAACAGTGTGGCAGACAACATTAACACACAGAATACGTACAACAATTTACTATGGCCACTATTTTTGCATATTTTTGATAATTTGAACAAGTATGAAATCTGTGCAGGGCGGGGTGATTGGCTTATACAGTGCTCTAATACTAGCTGTGTGGCCTTTTGTCCGCCTGCAATGTTACCTGTCATTTTTATTTTATCTATCCTAAGGCAATATCAGCATGATTTGTGCGGACACACATAAACCACCCAAAATATTAATATTTTCGTGCTGGAAGTAACAAACATGTAATTCTTAAGTAAATACCTAATTTGGATTCAAAAATGAGTCTCACGACTATTTGTTGTACACAGTCTCCATAACCAAGTGTTTATATAATGTTATTTACTAGACAAGTAAGCGCAGCTAGTTGGTCAAAGGCGAAAAAATATTAGCCATGGTATATGCCTTACAAAAATGACGTCAACATCCACGTATTTAGGAAGTGCCGTGCCCGTGGTCTCCTGCACCGAGCAGCCCCAGGTAAACGTCGGTGTGATACCCGCAGGCCATAGGTGGTTTATGGTAACCGATTTCACCATAATGTAAAAAGTTGCACCACCTGGGTAAAAATGTCAAACAGGTGAGAACTAATTTTCTTTAAAAATCTAGAGCCTTGTTCATGTGAAGTCACCCAAACCACGATTCGGGTAACTCGCTTTCCTCACATCTGGTCCACGTGCCACACATTCATTTCAAACCGTGTCCGATCATAGCTCGCCTGAGCTACATTTATTGTTGTTTGATGAAAACACGCAAGGTAGCGTGATATTAATGTCAGAGGTCAACGACCTGCTTGCTGGTGCCCCCCTCCCAGCGAATGCAGACGTGGTCCCGCCAGAGGCGGTGAAGCTCGTCCTAGAACGGACAAATTATTTGACCATTACTACTCTTTAAGTTGCTGACACGTAAAATTTGGTATTGCATATAAATAAAGAAATGTCACCCCGTAATCTATCAGCAAGTGAAGTCACATTGAAATCACGTTGCGTTCAGGCGGGGAAACCGATTCGAAACCACCTCTAGAAGTGGCTTGGGATCGAGGCGCTTTCAATGTGATTTGGAGCGTTCAGATGGAGCCACTTGAAACCGGATTCGAGGTAAACCATGTAAAGCGCCTTCACTGACTTCACATAAACACGGCCTTAGTCAGTAAAAAGGCTCATTGTTGCCTTCGACGAGAAGGCTATGGAATCGCTTTCGGCCTGTATTGTAGATTATGCACAATAAAGTTTGAAGGCATGGTCCGTGGTTCACGATTTTTGGCAGGCAGGTTGTCTTACTGACGGGCATTGTGAAGGCCAGAAATGGGCTGGGGGGGGTTCTTACGTGACTGGAGGTGACCTTTAGTTTTTGCGTTTTTTGTTGTTCCCTAGATAACTCGGGAATCCTTAAGTGGTTGTCTATGATTTTCAGTGGGCAAGTCGCCGTCGAGGATACGGAGGTCAAGTTCGGATATGGGCCTTGTGGGGGTTTCCCATATCATTGAATTTGACCTTTTGTGGTGGTCGTTATTGTTGTTAGCGGGATAATTCGTGAATCTGCAAATGGATGTTCACGATTTTTGCTGAGCAAGTTACCGTTGACGATAGGAAGATCAAGTTCAGAAAAGGGCGTCGTGGGAGGTCCGTACGTTACTGCAGTAACACTGGTCACTTTAAATTTGGAAAAGACACCAGCAACCCCAAGTATGAAATTCCAGGCAGTTAGCATTATGGAATTATTACATTTTCTCATTAATTATGTAAATTAAGTGTTAATTTACATAATCAATATCTTCTCTCGTTCTCAATTACATGTCACAAGCTTGAATAGTCCTACAATGTAATGCAGCTGATTTATAGAATTTCTCCATTAATTATGCAAATTACATTCAGATTTGCATAATTGCCGCATAATCATACCGACCATCATACCGACGATCCGTCCACCGGTTCTTGAGTTATCCTCTTTTTAATATTTTCAAACAGATAGCCCTGCAGTTCCTGAGCAAGCCGCTAGGGGGCCCAAGCTCACGCCACTTCTTCCCCAACAAAAGAGCTACCTACCATCCAGATTTCGTCATCCCAGCATGTGTAGATCATGAGATATCAAAACCGGAAGTTCAGCTGCAGTACCACAACAAGCCGCTAGGGGGTCCAAAGTCTAATCATTTCCAGGTCTCATCAAGACCTACCCACCTACCAAATATCAAGATAATCCACCTAAGCTTTCTCAAGTTATGCTGTTGACAGACTATAGGCTATCAAAAACTCATCTGTTTTGCCTGTAAATCCTCAAATACACAAAAGGGAGATGACATCCCAAAGCCATCGCTAATACACGCAGCTAATAGCAGGTAACAAGATCACAAGTTTCTAAAGGCCAATAACAGGTCAAACCATGAAAAATGTCAGACTTTTTGGCCACATTTTAAAAATGTACATTCTTCTGTCCTTCTTACCAGAAAACTGGGCCTTTCTGAGCAAAATTTGCCCAGGAAAAAAAAATATCTAAAAAAGAAGTACCAAAATAAATCGGTGTACACACTGCTAGTTCTGCGCATGACGATTTGCACTTTGAAAGCGCCCTCTATGGACGTGACCTGAACTGCAGCCGACTCAACCGGAAAGCCAGTTGCGTAATACAGCGCATTTATACACGAACTGCAAAACCTTTACAATTCAAATCATACAGTCTCAAACCCGATACATTCCTACACCACACAGCGCAATTTACGTCTGGCTGACGCTCTTATCAGGCTTTCTACCCAGCCTTCAAGAATATTCGCTGTACTACTTTCTATACCCGGTCGCCCATTAATACTGTGTGCTGCTACCTTACGGCATTGCTAGCTCTGTTCTTTGGGCATAGCAAAAAAGACCCATTTTACACAATTTTATAGTGGTGTATGCCAAACTATGTCTTTTAAAAGTTCATTTGGCATTTGCCTAAGACACATCTATAACAAATTTCAGGTCGTTTGGTTTTAATACAAGGGCATTTTGTCTGGAAAGAGCAGAAAAACTTATTTTACACAAATTCAAAGTAGTGTTTACCAAAAATGTGAGTATACTCCTATACCAAATTTTAGGTCATTTGGTTGTAATATTAGGTCACAGAAGCCAAAAATGTACATTTTTTGTCTGAAAATAGCAGAAAAGACCTGTTTCACACCATTTTCAAGTGATGTATGCCAAAGCTGCAAAATATTCTTTGAGCATATGCTCAAGGCACCCCTGTACCAAATGACGAATTCTACATTCCGTAGAAAGACATGGTACAGGCTAGGTAAATAGTATGTTGCTTCGTTCACAAAAAGACTCTCTGACCACTATAACTACGATAATCATCTTCAAAAAGCCTACACTATACATACACACAACACCCACCAAAACAATATCACACTGTCGAAGGCATGAGTCCTCCGAACTCTAGTTATGTATGAGGCGTAAATACGTAAGTAAGAGATACGTGTATGCGAAATACCCACATTTGTCGTGCAATAATATTCTGGAATACTTGAGGGTGTCGTGGCCCAGCCTGCCTGTTATGTTCCTTCCCTGGGGGTCAATCAGGGGACTCTGGAAACTCAGCACAAACGGCCATTGCTGCAGAAGGAAAGTCAATGCAACATATAGATTAATAAGTCACAAGCTAGTATAACAACGCTTCATTGCGTGTATTTAGCTAACACAACAAAAGAACAGGGGCTTTTAAAACAACTGATACACAGAACAGCAGCAACTGATAAACAGGTGTGATACAATTATAACATGTAATGTGAATACATCAATATATGGTGTTAAACTACCGTTTCATTAAATATTTTTAAACAAGAGTTCCACGATCTCATACCTTCGCCAAATGATGTTAACCCTTGCGGATGACGAATTATACAATTTTAATCATTGATTTTGTAAATAAGAGCCTCATTTGCATGGATTATATTAGTTGATCATATTCTCCATCCAATGACAGCCTTATCATAAAAAAGGCTATTATAGCACTTCCTCATAAATTATGCAAATGAGGTCATGATTTGAATAAATTATGTTTATTGATGTTCATCTTCACTTAACTTCCAAATGTGGAAGTATGACATTCGGGGTGCAGCAGTTACAACTATGGAATCATAAGAATTTGCCATTAATTATGCAAATTAGTGTTAATTTACATAATCAANATCTTCTCTCGTTCTCAATTACATGTCCCAAGCTTGAA